TGACTGAGTGATGAGTGACAGAGTGACTGAGTAGTCAAACAGTTAAAATTCTTGACTGCTCACAAAATATTGAAGGTTCAAATCCACCCAGTGGCACGTTGGAAGAAAAGCTTACTCATACTTCAAAAAAAAAATCAGCTACTAAAAACTCTATGAAACCCATTTTTCCTCTGACACATAAAGAATTGGAATCAACTCAATGGAAACTGGTATCCTTATTAAAGTTAAAATGAGTCATACTTGATTTTCATGAGAATAATTGGCTGATGCGCAATGCTGTGAATGAAATACCACTGAATGAGCAGTTAGTTAAGAAAGCCTACCTGTCTGTACACACACACACACACACACACACACACCTCTAAGTACAAACAATCTAGTATTTTATCCTTTAACACTAGGGAATGGGTGGATTTTTAGTCATGTTTTAAATTCCAATCCAATGTGGGTTAACATTAGGGGTAGATGAGAAGTGGTATTTGTCCTCACGGTCCTCTTGGGGCACTATACCAAGCCACCTCCAAATTTAGTGCAATAGCAGATACCAACAACAAACTCACTGCCAGAGCATCAGTACTGACAAATAGTGACCCTATAGGACAGGGTAGAACTGTCCCTGTGAGTTTAACAGACTACAAGTGTTTACAAGAGTAGAAAGCCCCATCTTTCTCCCTCAAAGCTGCTGGTGGTTTTGAACATCAACCTTTCAAATCACAACCCAATGTGCAATCACAGCAATAATTTATATTGCTCATGTACCTGAAATTTGGGCGGCACTCAACATAGACAAATTTTCTCTTCTTCCTTCCCCTCAACTGGGGCAGCTCTCCTCTTATTTATGGTAATGCAACTCATATGGCTGGTAAGTTGATGCTGACTCCAGGTAACTAGTACTACTTCAAGGTCAGGTGCCTGGGTTCCTCTCCACATAGGCATCTACATGTGGATGTTTTAGGCTTCCTTATAGCAACTGGTTACAAAAAGTGTTACAAGGAAAGATAGAGGAAGCTTTGCTTCTCTTTAGATTGGGGCCTAGAAACTGGCTGAATCCATTAGCCATGAGTCACACATCCATTCAGATTCGGGGGGTGGGTGGGAGGGGTTATATATACTTGGAATCCTCTGTAAAGGAAGATTTTGAACACAGTTGAACTCTCTCTAATATATTACATTTAAAGATTCACCACCACCCCATCTGTTCCACGTCCCAGGTTGTTTGTGCCAACCCAGGAGGGATTTTGTACAATTTACAAGGAATTTTCTACTTTACTACCTGCTTATCTTGAACTACATATTTCAGACGCTTAATTGCTAACTAAAAACTGCCTTAAAAGAAGGGCCTGAAAATTAACTTTTGACTAAAAACACAATTCTACTCTGACACACATGGAGTTGCCATGAATTGGAGTTGTAGCAACTGATTTGGTTTCTTGAACAACTATTTCCATAATGTTAACTTTCTCCATATCTATAATGATGGGATGTTCCTGTGCAACATGAGTATAGAGATAGTTATCATTCCTTCTCCAGACTCAGTGGACATCCAGTGGGTGCTACAGAAAAGTGTGGTGAAGAAATTAGATGGTGCAGGGCTATCAGATAGAATAGCACCTGCAATCTTCAAAGCTTGTTTCCAAACAAGTAACCATCCAAGTGAGATGTCAACTAAGTCTAATGGAATAAGAACACCAATATCTGTGACCCAAGGATTGTAAATTATATAATCCAAATCCAAAGGAAGGACTAGTATCCGAGTTTAAATTGTGAGATTATAGTTTGCAGGAGGTGTGGATGACAGTGGAAGTCCAAGATGCTCTTGCAAGATCTACACAGGAAATGAGTCTCCGAGGATTTCACTCTAACCATAATTGCTGGATGAGAATACACTGGTTACCAAACAGAGAATATTGGGTAGAAGACTAAAGGATACCAAAATGATAAACATGACTTGTACGGTTCAAACCTTGTCACTTTATCCCCCTCTGATACACTTTGGGCCTGATCTGGTTTTCAATATTTTGTTTTATTTTTTTTATATTGGGGTTTATCTTTGATATATTATATTGTCATTTTAGTTGTAGAAACCCACAGAAATAGGTCTACTCTATGCTATAGTGCCCTGTGCGTTGGAATCAACCTGACAGCAGTGGGTTTGGGGGTTGGGGTATCTACCAGTTAAGGATTCCTGGTCGTGCAGTGATTAAGCACTTGGCTGCCAGCTGAAAGATCTCAATGGCAGTGAGGGGGTGAATTTTGAGCACTGCTTTACTCTGACATTTATGCGAGTGCATGTGTCAAAATCAAGGACAACCAGTGGTAGTGGTAAGAACAAAGTTCCATCTTCCTCTTTCCCAAGTTCCTTTCCACCACAAAGTCAAAGTTACAAAGCCTAAAGACTCTGGCTTCTAGCAGTTCATTAGTTATAACTTAATAGAATCAACAGAACTGACTTACAGGATTAAGGAAAGAATACAAAGCTTAAGAAAATATTATGTTTCTAAATAATTCATCAGAGGCAGGCTTTCAGGATTCTAAAGTTAGTAGATTGTGTCAGCAGTTAGGGGAAATTCAGCAATGGGCTTCAAATATTCAGTCATTCAGTCAGTGTTCTGGAAGCTGATTGCAAAACACCAAAGTATTCCTCCCTCACAGTAGTCCAGATAATATAATTGATCCCACTTTCCATAAGGAAACTGAGGCTTTCCAATATCTAGCAATATGCTTCCCAAAACACAGCTGAAAAGGGATGGAGCCAGAACTTGAGCCCTGGCCTGCTTGACTCAAGCGTCTAAGTGTTCAGCCACAGGAGCAGAGCACTGCCCGTTGCTATCACATGGGTTTGGGAAGCCGTGCCAAGATTCAGTTCTAACTTATTATTTGCTAAGGAGCTGACTCTCACTCAGGGCAATGCTGTGTGTAGAGCATCAGAGGAGAACAGTGTTGCAGTATGTTCTCAAGGGCTGCATTTCTAGACCTAGCTAATCAGACATCTCTTGTGGGGTACCTCTCAATAAATCTGAGCCTCCAACAGTTCTAATAGAAATTGCTAGTTTGGGGATACAGTCCCAATGTTATTAGGTGAGATAATATAAATAAGTGAAGTGGGGTGGGTGAAAGTTATGAAGGAATAGGGGCCATGGTAAAATGGAAAACCCAAGTCCATTCTTCATGTGAGTAATCCAGGGATTACCTTGAATGGTATTAATTATATCTACCAAAACTATCAGGTATATCAGCAAATTAGGTTTTGTGTGAGAACTTAAATTTTCTTATTCATTTTTAACATTTGCAAGCTGACAATGTATCAGGGTAGAACCACTTACAGTAACACCACTAATCTACTGGATCGACACTCTGGCTATTGGAGCTAGGGGCAGCATGGGTGTGTGAGATTCTCTCTCTCTTGTCTTGGAATAGAGCTCTTGCTTGTGAGTTTGAATATATTCAAGTGGAGCTGTAGAGCGAAAATTATAAAAGTGGTCTTACAGAGTAGTATACGGATAGTTTGATTCTTGATGCTGTTTGATAGCCTTTGATCTGATGCAGGATTTAGCAAACTTTGGAGATGGAACAACCAAGAACAGCCAAGTCCTAACTCTTAAAAACCAGAGCAGCCCAGAAGGGAACACTAGAGTTCAGGGCCAGCCACTCAGCAGTGAATTGTAATGATCATTTGGAGGCCACTCAGGTTGTTCCTTCCATAAGGCAGAGTTAATATGGGCACTTGGGTGAGCCTGAGCCACCTGCCAGAAGCCGTGGTTCTAACATTGGAAGGTAGGGATAGGGATGAGAAATCTGAGTTACCGCTCCTATCTGTCTCTTCTTGTCCCAGTTGTGAAATGAGGTGGCTGGTAGTACAAGAAACATTGATGAAAATAATGAGCTGATGGAAGGTAAATTACCTGAGTGATATAAATGGTTAACACACTTGGTTGATGGTTTGAGTCTACCCGGAAACATTTCAGAAGCAAGTCTTCGTGTACTTTCCTCACAAAAATCAGCCACTGAAACCCACGTAACACTGTTCTACTCTGACACATGTGGGTTGCCAAGGATGCAAATCAATTCCATGGCAAGACCAACAATCAATAAAACAAAATTAAGTTCTCATAAAATATACAATTTTCGCTCTACAGTTTCACTTGAATATTTTCAAACTCACAAGCAAGAGCTCTATTCCAAGATAAGAGAGAAAGAATCTCACACACCCATGTTGCCCCTAGCTGCACAGCTCCAATAGCCAGAGTGTCCATCCAGTAGATTAGTGGTTATAAGTGTGCCATGACCAATAAAGGGAATGTTGATTCTGGGGACTCCTTGCTGATTAGGTCTCACTCTGCATTCTTGGCACAATTCCATCAAATGTTTGTGGTGCTCCCAGTCTTCAGCATTGACTCCCCTGAGTTTGAGAGTACCAGCAATTTCAAGAGTAGTTCTTGGGGTTGCAAACAGGTAAAATATTCAACAGCTAACAGAAGGAATGGATGTTCAGGTCCACCTAGTAGTGCCATGGTTTGCCCTTTTAAGGCCTGATGATCAAATTCCAAAAGATTAGCCATTAAAAATTCTACTCTGATAATCATGGGGTTATCATGACTTGAAGTCAACTCCACAAGAACTACTTTTAGTAATCTCAGGGGCTCCTGTGTTAGAACATAGTCCTTCTTAGATCCCAAAGGACCTGATATTTTTTAGTCTAGCTCCCAAGTTGAGATTGATATTCAACAGTTGAATTGCTTACTAAAAATTTTAACTAAAGAGATATTAGTATTAGGAGCCAACCGACTATCCTTCCCCAGCACCCTGTTGCCCTGGAGGATGAACCTTGCCCGCCATCTTTATTAAATGGTGCAACCTCTCCTGCAAGTAACCAATCAAATGTTACTTTTGATGATAGTAAAGCCACCAAATTCAAACTCAACTTCCAATTTATGCCATCAGTGGACCCTCCCAAACCCCCAAGAACTGCATTGCCCTGTCTTAAAAATCAGAATACCAACCTTTAGGAACAGGGAGAGAAGATTCAGCAGACTCTTCTGACGTTCAGATGGTGTCCTGAAAGCCACCTGCTTATATTCTAGAAATTTCTCTTCTACCATCTCCCAGAGAGCATTGGAGCCGGTGGATTGTCCTCCACATGGGGAATCAAGCTGCTCAAAATCAGACTGATCATCATTGTTGGAACCTGAACCCTGTGATTTGTGCCCAGTCTTCACAGTGTCTTCTGATTCCATGCCTTGGAAAAGCAGACCGGAATTCAGAGAGCGGCACGGCAATGAGGAGTTCTGTCACAACGCTTTCTGACGAAATTAGGCGTCAGGAGACAGTATTAATTCAGTCCAGTTCCTATTGAAGATGGTTCCTCTAAGAATCTGAAACAAGTGAAAATGAGGAAGACTTTTTTAAAATTCTGATTTCGATATGACTAACATATTGACACAATATGTGTCAGCCACTGTTCCCTGCTCCTTATACAGACTTATAGTTACAAAAAGAGATGAGTTTCTCATTTTCTTTATATAAATGAAGAAACCAACCAGGCCAAAACAATTCGGAAGCTTGAACTTGAGGAGAAATGCAACCATTAGCCTCAAAGCCTATTTGTCCATCTTAAAGATCTGATGTTGTTTCTCTTTAAAAAAAATGAGTAAGTAGAAGATAAGTATGTACTATTTCCCCAGTATTTATAGAAGCATGGGTTTCTGCATCTTAAATCACAACTTCCTCCTAACACATGTATAAAATGAAACTTCCTGGTTTTTACATTCTCAGTATTGTTTATTTCACTCTCAGTGTCTTTCAAAGACTTTATCCCCCAAAAGACCCTTTAAACCTTCAAGCTAACTTAAAGGAGCTCTTCAGTAGGTGCACACAGGCAAAATGTGGATAAGCCTAGAAACTCGGGGCAGTAGACAAATAGAATATAAATGTACAGGAATTAAAGGTCTTTGCCTGCAAGATAATCTTGGGAACGTTCCTTTGTCGCTTTGACTTTACGGTTGTCAAACTCTTGGTTGGTTTGTTGTTGTTTGTTTTTCAGAAGTGAAGTGAAGCTCCAAAGAGACTTCAGAATGCCTTGGAGCCTGCAAGACGTTGCCTCTAACCACAAGGTTCCCATGTGATGCGGATATCAGCTCTGTAGTCTGGGCAACACATGATCATCACAGGGCAGCAACCAGTTGGACAGACACACAGAGCAAGGTTCATCAGAGTTATGCTCTTGGCTACTGTGTTGAGAAAATATATCATGCTTTATTTTTGGCGCAGAGCACACATTACTTGAAATCTCTGATTAAGAGTTAGCTCAAAGTCACACATCCAGGCTAACCAAACTTTTTCATACTTTATGGCTCTTCTATCACACACACTTCTATTCTCAGAACTCATTTTCTTATCACAAAAATCATGTACAATCATGGTCAAAAATTGGGACAAAGCAAAATATTAAGAAGAATATTAAAATTTCCCGTAAGCCCACCACCTAGAAAATAATGGTTGATATTTCAGTATGGACCTATCCAGTCCAGATTTTTATTCATGAATATAGTGTTTAATAAAATATAACCATAATACTACTAAGGTAATTTTTTTATCTATACTTATAGTTTGTTGATCAATTGCCTGGCTAGTTGGTTGACTGAGGGCTTGTGGGAGCTTTGTTGGTTTATTGTTTTCTTGGGGAGATTGAATCTTGTATGCAGGCAGTCAAGTTCTTTACACTAAACAGTGGGATTACAATCTCTTTACTTCCTTGGGCAGGGACCCTCCCTGGATTTGGTTATGTATTCATTTAACCCCTTGGATAGTCATTGTCTATTTCATACCATTCTTCCCCACCTGCTATACCACAAGCTAATATCCCAAATTGGTCGTTATATTTGGTATATAGCATTTCATTGTTGAGATAGTTAAAGTTTGTTGTGCCAACCTGGCGGATAAACACATGTGGGGTTAATTGAAGAGCGGAGAGATAAATGGCTCGGTGAGCCTCACCTTTCTAGTTCTAGGGTCTCTTGCTTTCTGATGGTTGGACCAGGATGCAGCTGCCTTAGACAGTTCCCTGATTCACCTGGCAAGGTTCACTTCCTGCAAGACTTCCCTGAGGAGCAGCCACATGGACCTACCCCTATGTAGCCCTGGGTGCTGGAGCAGCCCTGTGGAGACCCCTGCCAGCACTGAGACTCAGCTCTCCTCCTGCAGTTGGCATCACTTTGTGTGTTTTGCGACATGGAGGAGGACTTTGTAGATTGGTGTCGGACATATGGGCTAATGTTAAACTTGTGGGCTTGGACAGCACTGGGTTGGGATGTTTTCTTTATATAAAACTCTCTCTTATACATATGAGTTTCCATGGATTTGTTTCTCTAAAGTACCCAGCAAAGACACAATAGGCATGGATCCTTCTCAAATGTGAGATAATATGTAAGATTTCTACAGGTGGACATTATGTAATTAACTGAGTGATTGGTGCTACAGATATTTTCCTGCAGCTTGCCTTTTCTCCTTCTGCATTATGTTTTTGGTCTTTACCATGTAGCTCTATATTTAGCAAATTCATTCTTCTAATTGTTACAATAGTGCTCCAAGTGGGTGTCTACCACCTGGTTTACCCATGACTTCTGGTTAATAATCACAATGCTGTGTTGACATCCCTAAAGATGTAGGGCTACATGATGCTAACTCTGGGTGTATACCAGGAGCTGAGTATGACCTCCAGAATATACAAGATGATAATGACCCTGCAGAGAACGTGAGGGCTCTGTAACCACATAGCCACCATGTTTTGACAGGACCCAGTTGTTCAGGTTTTGCCAAATTAGTTGAAGCTGCATGATCACTCATTGCTGCTTTCGTTTCTGTTTTCTCAAAATTAATAATGAGTCCCAGCCACTTCACAGCATTTTTCTGTCCGCTTCTCATACTGTGGAGCGTGTGTGTTTCTGTAATTCTGGGAACGATGTCACTGGTATTTCAAATACGAACAGGGGTCGTTAAAGCAAAAAGATTTCATCAGAGTTTCTAGACTAGGAACAGATTTGAAGAAGGAATAGGCTTTCCACTTCTGAGAAGGAAGTAGCCACTGAAAATTTTGTGGATAACAGTGAAATATTATCAGATACTGAAATCTTCATGAATAACAGCAGAGAGTGCCCTCTGGCTGGAAGGCACTCAAAATATAACTGACGGAGAGCAGCCTTCTCAAAGTAGAATAGGCTATAAATTAGCCTACTCAATAGATTGAGTAAAGCCTTCAGAAGTAAAACTTTCAGGACATTGGTTTTGCTAATGGGGACTCCACATGAGCAGAAACAGCTGCAAACATCAACCAATAATTGGACTGTGGAATGTACAAAGTATGAATCTACAATTAGAAGTCATTACATATGAAATGAACTTAATTGGAGCTGGAAGAGGAGTCGTGTCATTCCCAGAAAGTGGGGAGGAGCACCCCAATTTGCACCCCTATACTGGCCACTGTTACCACTAGTTCAAACGTGAGTTGAAGTCCCTGAAGCACTGTAATCAATTCCAGTTAGACCCGGAGTACAGCTCACCCAAATAATAGAAAAGCAATTCTGAAACTTCCTCGGAAGGGGGCAAGCTCACTGTACAATGATAAAAACTGTTATTTTATCATCTTTTCATGAAAAGCTTGATTGAAAATGGGAAAAATGAAATGGACCACATAAAGATCAATATCCTAAACACCCAAAGGTACTGGTATTGGCCACTTGGAAATAGAAAATGAGATGATTTACTAAACCAGGAATGACAGACTCAAAAGGAATGCCATAACATGCATAGTCAACAAGTGCAGGTCAAGATCCAGCAACAAAGCCGTGTGGGCAGGATAATGTCCATCTGCATGTCTGCGTGCAAAGAAATCCCAGTCAGTACAACTATCATTCAAATGTATGCACCAACAACTAAATCTGGTGATGAAGAAATTGAAGAATCCTACCAACTTCATCAGTCTGAAATTCAGGAAATAATGCATTGAGAATTATTGGTGAATGGAATGCAAGAGTTGGAAACAAAGAGGAAGGAACAGAAGTTTGAAAATATGTCTTTAGTGATAGAATTGAAGCTACAGATCACATGATGGCATTTTACAAGACCTCCAACTTCTTCATCACAAAGGCCTTTTGTGAACTTCAAAAAGGGCAAGTATGCACATGGACTTTTCCATATCTAATACACAGAAATCAAACTGACCTCATCTATGGGAAAGGACAATGGAGAAAGTCAATGTCAGCAGCTAACATAAGGCCAGGGGGCAATTGTGGAATAGGCCATCAATTGTTCAGGCTGAAGCTGAGGAAAATTAAAGCAAGTCCAGAAAAACAAAAGAGGACTTTCACTATGTTGTTATTGGGTGCCTTCTGGTTGGTTCTGACTCATAGAAACCCTGTCTACAACAGATCAATCAAAAATACTGAGCGCGAAATTAGAAAGTCAGATGAAAACCACATTGATATACCATTCCATACTTTCAGAATGTCTTAGGTAAAATCATACTAACAATAATCACAATGTCAAGTGCTGGCAAGAATGCATAGCAGCTGGAAATGTCACTCATTGGTGGGAATATAAAATGGTACAACCATTTTGGAAACTTTTTGACAGTTTCTTACAAAGTGAAATATGTTCTTATCACATAACCCAGCAGTTCCACTACTGGGTTAGACCCAGAGAAATAAAAATTTACTTTTACATAAAAACTTGTACAAGGATATTTATCATATTTCTATTCATAATTGTCAAAATCTGAGAGCAACCCAAATGTCCTTCAGTGGGTAAATAAATGGATGGACCCTAGTGCATTGACATCATGAAACTCTATCCTTGTGGGGTGACATGTAATCAGCCCCTTACTCATAGCAACCTCAAGCACAACAGAATGAAATGCTTCCCAATCCTGCACCATGCCCACGATTAGTTGTGGACCAGATCACTGGTAGCCACAGGACTTTTACTGACTAAGTAGATTGGGAAGTAGATCACCAATGAAACCTGTTTACCATCATAGCAATACACAAGGCTTTCCTTGGGTGGTAGCTTTGCATGCATTAGATACATTGGCCAGATATTAAATCAGGGTCTCCTACCGTGAAGGGAAGAATTCTACCATTAAAAAACGGTTGCCTTCCTGGAATACTGCACAGCAATGAAAATGAATGAACTATTGCTCCAAGGAACAACTTGGATGGATCTCAGAAATATTATGCCACAT